TTTAACAGTCCTTTATGATTTGCCTCCTTCTCTGTTTGAAACTATTTTACTCCCTTTCCTTTCACCATGGTCCTCTGTTAAGTTTCTCAAGTTCCACATATAAGTGAAAACATATGGTATCTGTCTTTGTCTGCCTGACTTATGTCACTTTGTATAATACCCTCTAGTTCCATCCACGTTGCTGCAGATTTCATTCTTTCTCATTGTGAAGTAGTATTCCATTGTGTATATCAACCACATCTTCTTGATCCATTCGTCAGTTGGTGCACATTGAGCCTCTTTCCATGATTTGGCTATTGTTGAAAGTGCTTCTATGAACATTGGGGTCCGTGTGCCCCTATGCATCAGCACTCCTGTATCCCTTGGGTAAATTCCTAGTATTGCAATTGCTGGGTCATAGAGAAATTCTCTTTTTAATTTTTTGAGGATGCTCCACACCGTTTTCCAGAGCGGCTGCACCAGTTTGCATTCCCACCAACAGTGCAAGAGTGTTCCCATTTCTCAACATCCTCGCCGATATCTGTTATTTCCTGAGTTGTTAATTTTAGCCACTCTGACAGGCAGTTGGTATCTAGGTCTTCTAACCTGATGGACCTCCATTTCCTCATCTGTAAATTAGGAATAATCATTCTTAGCCTGTACCCCTCAGGACTGATTTCAAAGGTCACACTAGAGAGTGCATATATTTTATTTTATTTTATTCTATTTTTTTATTTTATTTTAAAAAAATGTTTATTCTTTTGGGGCACCTGGGTGGCTCAGTTGGTTTCCACTCTTGAATTTGGCTCAGGTCATGATCCCACAGTTGTGGGTTCAATCCCCATGTCAGGCTCTATGCTGACATTGGGAGCCTGCTTGGGATTCTCTTTCTGCCTCTTCTCTGTTTTCTCTCTCAAAACTAAATAAATAAACATTTAAAAAATGTCTATTATCAGGGTGCCTGGCTGGCTCAGTCAGCGAAGAGTCTGACTTCAGCTCAGGTCATGATCTCGCAGTTAGTGAGTTCAGGCGCCACGTTGAGCTGTTGCTGACAGCTCCGAGGCTAGCACCTGCTTTGAGTTCTCTTTCCCTCTCTGCCCCTCCCCACTGTGTTGTCTCTCTCTCTATCTCAAAAATAAACACTTAAAAATTATTTTAAATGTCTATTATTTTGCAAGAGAGAGAGCAAGTGCACACGAGTGGAGGGAGGAGCAGAGGGAGAGAGAGGGAGAATCCCAAGCGGGCCCCTTGCTCACCTCAGAGCCTGACTCAGGCCCCACCCGGGACGCCATCTCACAAGAGCGAGATCATGACCTGAGCAGAGATCAAGAGTCGATGCTTAACCCATTGGGCCACCCAGATGCCCCAACAGTGAATACATTTCAAAGAACAGGCCACCCGGACACTTGAGGTGGCCCTGCCTGCTTGGGGCCAAGCTCCTGTCCTTACGACAAGGCTGCCTCGCTGTCTCGCCCACCCATGAATGGGTCTGTTGGTTCTCATGAGCCAGCGAATCCTCGCCAGGGCCTTGTAACCAATTCGATTGGGTTTCTGCCACCAGAGCCCAGACTAATGTAACGACAGGCCATTCTTGGAAGTGGAAGGATGGTGTTTTCGGTGAGTGCCCTTAGCTCTTTCCCCTTCTCGGTCTTTTCCTGGACCCCAGGAACTGGGGCCAGTCCAACTGGCCTTTGCATGCGCCCCCTGTCCTCCTCAATATTGGGGGGTGGGCAGTGCCACACAGGGGGCTTGCGGAAGGCTGGGAAGAGGGCTGGGAAGAGCCCCAGCAAATCTGCTGCTCTCTCTCTGGGGTGGACGGTGTTTTCTTACACGGGCATCTCAGGCACGTGGCTGTGGGCCCAGCATTCCCCATGCTTCAGGCAGCAATTTAGCTTGTGGGTGTCTGGGGAGGGAGCGTGGGCGATGTGCTGAGGTTTGCAAGAACAGTAGAGTTCTTTTTTTTTTTAATTTTTTTTTTAATGTTTTATTTATTTCTAGGAGAGAGAGAGAAAGAGACAGCGTGAGCAGGGAAGGGTCAGAGAGAGAGGGAGTCGCAGACTGAAACAGGCTCCAGGCTCTGAGCTGGCAGTCAGCACAGAGCCCGACGCGGGGCTCGAACCCACAAACCGCGAGATCATGACCCAAGCGAAAGTCGGACGCTTAACCGACTAAGCCACCCAGGCGCCCCAAGAACAGCAGAGTTCTTGAAACCACCTCTGCCACTGACTAGCTCCGTGACCTTGAGCAAGACAACCAGTATCTCTGAGCCTCAGTTTCTTCATCTGGAAAATGGGCTTATGAGAGCAGAGCTGCTCCACTAGCGACTCCACAGGGCTGCCATGAGGATTATATGGGGAAATGCTTGAATAGCCCCTTGAGGGGTGCCAGGCTTGTAGAAAGAGCTCATGAATGTCACAGATGTAGTTCCTTACATCAGCACCCGGATTGGCTCTCCTGTATGTATGTATGTATGTATTTATCATTTTAGAAAGAGTTATGTGAGCAGAGGAGAGGGGCAGAGAGAGGGAGAATCTTGAGAAGGCTCAATGCCCAGTGCAGAGCTGAAATGGGGCTCAATCCCACCACCCTGTGATCATGACCTGAGTCGTAATAAAGTCAGATGCTCAACCAACGGAACCGCCCATGCGCCCCTCAACTGTCCTTTAAAAGCAGTTTCAAGTACCTGGTCTAAAGTGCACACCAACTCAGAATAGGTGTTATAGGGGCGCCTGGGTGGCTCAGTTGGTTGAGTGTCCAACTTTGGCTCAGGTCATGATCTTGCGGTTTGTGAGTTCGAGCCCTGCGTCAGGCTCTGTGCTGACAGCTCAGAGCCTGGAGCCTGCTTCAGATTCTGTGTCTCCATCTTTCTCTGCCCCTTCCTCACTCGTGCTCTCTCTCTCTCTTTCTCTCTCAAAAATAAAGATTAAAAAATTTTTTAAAAAAATAAGGGTTATAACCATGGTGAGGCTGCGGAGACCCACGGAGGTCTGGTGACTTCCCTAAAGTCACACAGCTGGGACGCTGCAGAGTTTGAACCTGATCTCCCTCTGGCAATGTTACAGGTGCTGGACAATGGTCCTATCGTGAATGGAATTTGTAGAAGTTGGATGTCTCTGGGCGGAGGAACATCAGGACAATAGTAGACTTATCTGGGAGACAGTTGAATCATGATTCTATGGAACCACGTGAAATTGCACATATGTGGCCATTTTGACTTAAAAGAAGTACATGTTATATGAAAACCCAGTTGGTTAGATACACGTGCCTCCCCAGCGAGTGGCTGAGGTGGCATTGATAGATTTTTTTAAATGTTTTTATTTATTTTTGGGAGAGAGAGAGAGAGAGAGCAGGGGAGGGTCAGAGAGAGAGGGAGACACAGAATCTGAAGCAGGCTCCAAGCTCTGAGCTAGCTGTCAGCACAGAGCCCAATGTGGGGCTCGAACCCATGAACTGTGAGATCATGACCTGAGCCGAAGTCGGACGCTTAACCGACTGAGCCCCCCAGGCACCCCGGCATTGCTAGATTTGCACGAGGTGGGGCAGACCTATCACAGGATGATGAGCAGATTTCTGCAAGCCCAGGGAGCTGGCTCCATCAGGCTGGGCTCTCGCAGGACTTTCCGACTGCCGTGGCCCTTCAGAGTGGCTCTGGAAGACAAGAAAGAGCCTCATGGCCCTTAGTGAGAAGGGCCACTCCCGACATGGCCACTAGCTGTGGTATCAGAGTTATCATTTCCCTTGGAAGGCTGCATGGAGGGCTATGGGGCAGGAATAAGGCGAGATGGAAAGTGTCCCCTGTCCCAGCCTAGCCGAGGGAGGACAGCCGTGGCTTGTGGGCTTCATGACCTAAGTCCTCTCCCACGACCAGGGAATCACTGTAATGACTTTCCAGAGCCATTCAGCACAACTTGGCCACGTGATTAGGAAGAAGAAGACACGGGGTAAGTGTCTTGGGCCAGTCTGAGCAGGTGATGCCGACCAAGACCTAGAGGCCCGTGTGGGTAATGTGTTTGGGGGTCCAGGGACGGAAGGACTAGGACAGAAAAACGTGTTCCCAGTCCAGCCCCACTGAAAAAGTCTCCAGGAAAATTTGGCCATAGGTTTTTGCAGAAAAGAGCCCTGAGTGGCGGGAGCCCGAGCCCAACTCGGGTGGGAAGGCAGGACGAAGGGAGCGAAACAAGTATTCTCTCTCTGCGGCTGGAGAGGCGGCAGCTCAATGCCCTTGTTGAGCAGAAGGTTCTGGAAGCAACAGGGAGGCAGCCTTGAGGTTGAGGGGCAGCAGGGTGAGGGGCTGTCATGGGGGGCACTGTGAGCACTAGTGGGTCTGGGGGAGCCTAGTCCCACTCGGGGACTCCCAGAAACACTGAAAGCCCAGAGCTTTCCACAGTGACTGGGGAAGAACCGCTAGGCAGTGCGATCCAGGCAACATTTCGCGCTGGCCCCGCATTGTGGGAACGCCCGATAAAGAGTAACATGGTGGACACGTGAAAGACGGTTGTGACCCACATTCCACACACGGCCTGGGGACAGAGAGGGAGACTCAGACAAAGGATGAAAGATGTCACACTCGAGCTCGGGCCGGATCGTTCTTTAATGTTGGTCTGGGGGAGGGGGTGCTGAACCCAGAAAGCAGCTATTATTGGGTGGGGTTCACCACCTTTCCCAGGAAGATGATATTCTTGGTGTTTCTGTCATAGATGAGGAGGCTAAAGGGCCTGTTGAACTCGACAGTGGGGGGCATCGACATGGGGATGGCTTCCAGAAACGTGGCCCCAGCCGCTTCTGTCCCTCTTTCGTCGATGGTCAGCACGGCCTTATGGAGCGCCTGCAAGGAGAGAGCACCGGGGCCTGTTCCGAGTGGGGTCGGGCTGCTGTCCCCACGCAGCCCCAGGAACGAGGCCCAAGGAGGGGAGTGTTGCCCAGAGGGGGGCGGTTCACGTGGGCCTTTCTCTGCCTGGCCTGGCCTTCCCCATCCACGGCCTCCCGCCCTGATGTCAAGCTTTCTGGGGCCCAGGACTCGATGGGCACCTTCACTGTGTCTGGTCCACACCCAGCACTGGGTTCCCAGCCAGCCGTTGAGCAAAGGTTGTGTCTTCAGTCACCTGCAACTTTCCTGAATAAATGGCATCTTTAGGCAAAATCACTCGTTCACCCAAACTCAGTGACTGGCCAATAGCTCCCAGTGTCTCAGAAGCAGGGGACAAAAGTCCTCTGAAATCCCTGAGCCCAAGCCTGTCTTTGTAAGTGTGGGTCCAGCGAGACCATGGCCGGGTGTCAGAGGGTCAATGACCCAGTGCAGAGAAGGTCCCTGAGATGTCAGAAGCACGTGGGGCCACCGCCTCCATTGTCACCTGCCCTCAATCCAGTCTCGGTGGATCCAGTGGCGCTCGTCAGGGACCTCAGTCTGCAGGGCTGCTTGTGTCCCTTTGTCCCCCACACACATCGTGACACATTCTGACCAATGGCCACCAGGGACACACTCACACACACACTCACCTCGGACAGTATCAGGTGACCTCCTTCAGTGACCCCTGAGAGGTCAGCCTCGTAGGTGAAGATCTTGGTGATGCCCAGTTTTCTCAGGACGTTTTTCAGATCGTAGGTCCCAGAGATGGACAGTTTGGGGAAATGCACATTGGCAGACCTGTGACAATGGTGTGGAACAGAGGAGTTTCACAGCATTGAGCATTTCATTTCTGGTTGTTTCTCCCCCTCAGGGGCCCTCTCTCTGGCCCCACAGGAGGGCTGGAGGTGTGCACGGGTTTATTCTATTTCTAGCACCTCCATCCCTGGGGTCAGAGGATGTAGAATCACAGAGATGGGCTTCTCCTGCAAAGTCTCAAGTACCACCTCCTGCCTCTTCCGAGCAGCCCTCCAGGAAGTTCCCTGGGAAGCACGTAGCACACTGCTCTGCAGGCCAGGTCCCCCTGAGACTGGGACTCCCCCAGAGCCTGATCTCAGGGGCATGTGGGGTGAGGGTACCGAGGGACATCTGCTCAGTGAGGGATGTGTGACCACGCGGGCTGAATGCTCAGCTCTGCTTTTCCATGGGGACAGCGTGTGGCCCCGAGCAGGGTCTGCTGGAGCGAGCTGACTGGCACTGAGGCTCCGCTTGACCCCACTGGGGTCCTGCACCGCTTTGTTCTCTTTTCTCAGCCTCTGGTGCAGGAGCCCAGGAGTGGGTGGGGGGTGGGGGGAAAGAGATATTAAAACTGCTCTTTTAATTTTAACCTTATGCTCCTTTATATCTTTAGATTCACTTACGCCTGCATACGTTTATTATGCATTCTTCTGGGTATCAGTTTTATGTATTAATTTTACCTGACTTGATTGTGTATCTGTGTTCACTTTGCATACATTTACACCTGCATGTGTATTTTTATCGTGCACATGATCAAATCTTTCACGAGGGCTCGTGCATTTTACGCACTGATTTGGAGCGCTTGCTCATGCATTACCTCACTACGGGGACCCAATCAGTCCACACAGATCTGGTGACAGAGGAGCGCAAACCTTACTCCAAGGTGTGCCTGAGTGGCCCCCTGGAGCCTCTGCTTTCCCGGCCGACCCCAGGCAGGACGTCCCTGTCCAGCCCTGGACTTCATAGGCTCTGACTCCACATCCACTGCTCCCCTTGTTAGAAGACCACCTCTCCCTTCTTGGGTCTCCCGGGGGTGTGCTGGCCCTGGGAAGGGACAGCTTCCCTGGTGGGGAAGGGAGTCCCCAAGGACAGGACTCAGGCCTCCTCGCTGCGGGCACCGCCTGTCACGGAGCCCTGCCTGTGTTTGGAACGCCGGCCCCCGCACCGCTGTGGGGCGCACGGGACGCCGTCCGCCCTCCCGCCGGACACGGCGGCTCCTGGGTTGCTCTCTGGTTTGGGAATCACCTGGTGTGTTGCTTTTCCAGGAACTTGGCCAGGACGTCCCTGCTCAGCATGGCCTCCAGCTGCTGCATTTTGCCCTGGTCGGGCAGGATGAAGAAGGCGGTGGCGTTGCCCACATAGTCCATGAGCAGCACCCAGCTGGCGAGCTTGTCGCAGTAGTGGACGTCAAACATGCCCAGGCGGCTCATCATGGGCACCTTGACCGTGGTGTCCTCATCCACGTGGAAGTCCTCCTCCGTGGTGTGCTCGGGCTCAAAGGGCTTCTCCCATTTGCCTGGAGAGAAGGGAAGTTGGGCATCAGCCGGCGGTGGGAGGAGGTTTGGACAATGTGGCGGAATAAAGAAAGCCCTGAGCCCCTCCGTGGTGTGATACTTCTCCCTGAGCCTCAGTTTCACAGTCTGTAAAATGGGGCCGCAATGAACAGTCTACTGAAAGGACATTAGAAAGAAGAATGCAGGACCGGAGCAGGATCCAGAATTTCTATATGATCGAGGCTAATGCCTGCCGGTCTGGATATGCAAAGCGAGCATTTTTACTTGTATTTCTTGCTCATGTATTTGAGGGTGGCTCGAGAGCTTCTAAATGAAAATTATTGACATTGGTCATACTCAGCACCTCCCTGTCCGAGTGTCCCTGCCCCCTGTGAACTCGTGGCTCTTACCATTCAGGAAATCACTCAACCTCCCCTTGAGTTGCCATCCCTCAGGTAGGAGGCCAGGCTGAGGTTCAAGTTCAGTTGAGCACTTGCTGTGTGAGCATGTAGTCTCCCTTGTTCTTTGTAACTTGTTCAATCTCACAGAAACCCGCCGACAAGGGTATGATTATGTGCCCGTTACAGAGAGGAAACTAGAACCTCAAAGAGGTACAGTGACTTGCTTAGAGTCAAACAGCTAATAATCAATAGAGGAAGGATTTGCACCCTGGTGTTTCTGACTCCAGAGCTGTCCCTCCCTCCACTGCACTGGAGATGACGGAAGTGTGTTCCAAGAACCCCCATTCCCTTCATCCACTCTGCTAAAACTGCCTCTTTTTTACCTCCTTCCCTGCTGGGGATTGAAATGTACAGTGAGACATTAAAGGCTCTGATAAGTCCTGCAGAGAAGATGATGATTTGACTGTCCCACCCATTAATGGCTCCCTGACCTTAGTTGATGGTGGAAATTGAATAACACAGGCAGAGACGCACTGACCTAGTCGCCCCGCCCTGCCATGGAATGTTTAAGAACTGCATGTTTCAGAATATTTTCGGGTGCGTGTTCGTGGGAGTCAGCTCAGGTGGCGGTCACAGCCTTACCTTTAAAGAAAATGTAATTCACCAGAGCAAAAACTGTGTCTTTGTCAAGGTCTTGGACCAAATCCACAATTTTCCCCTGGGTTCCCTTCTCCACGTAATTGTTGATCTGTCTCTTGGCCTCTTCGTTGTGTCCGAAGTTGATGGAGAAGGCTTCCGAGTGGTACAGGTTCTTGATGTCCTGCAGAAACTTGTCCAGAAGCTTCACGCTCTCGTTGATGAAGAGCCCGCTGCCGGTGGTCAGCTGCAGCTGGCTGTCTGGCTGGTTGAGGGTGCGGAGGAGCTGCTGGAAGCCCTGGTGAACCTCGCTCTCCGCTCTCTCGGTGAGGTTGAAGCCGAGGCCCTCCAGGATCTGGTCATGCGTGTTACCCTTGGCCCCCAGAGACAGCATCGCAAAGGCCGTAGCGATGCTTACAGGGGAGAAGAAGATGTTGGTGGTGTTGGATTCGTGGGCGACCTGGCGGTACATGCCGAAGGCGAAGTCAGCCAGGTTCGGGGCGATCTTGTGGCAGGCGGGCACCTCGTGGTGGGCATGGTCGTGCTCGGGTGCGTGTGTGTCCTGGGCTGCGTCTCCATCAGCCAGGGAGCGGGGGGCCAGGCAGCACAGGCCCACCAGCAGGAGGGCGCCCCACGCAGTGGACGATGGCATCGTCCTGCAGGCAGAGAAGGGGCCCCACGCCCACGTCAGGCCACACGGCGAGTCCCTGGCCACCCACTGACACCACGTAAAGCATGCCCAGTGCCCAGTGCCGAGCACGTTCCTACGTCCTCATCATGGAGAACAGAACAGAGGCAGAGACTGACAGTGCTCCCCACACCCCAGCCCATGTAAGCCCCGTGCGGCCTCATCTCCTGGCCCTCTTGTGATGACCTGTGACCCAGGGCATCTGACAATTGTCTATTTACAGATGAGGAGACCGAAGGCCAGAGAGGCCTAAGTCCCCTGCCCCAGGCCACAGAGCAGAGCCCAGAACCACAGAGCCGGGCAGTCTGGCTCTGGAGTCCATGCTCTTGACGGCGGCGCTGACATCTACAATGGCCCCGTGTGCAAGTGCCATGGCCCCTGTTTTACATCAGAGGAAACTGAGGCACAGCAAGCATAATGTACATGTGTGCACTTACCCAGGAAGCAGGTCCCTGTTTTACAAAAGGGGAAACTAGAGCACAATGAACCTTGGGCACACTTTCTCAGGAAATGGGCCAGATTGGGCTCAGGTACGATTGGATGTGGATTAACTCTTCTTATTAAATGGACATGCAGCTGCTGCCCAGAGCGGGTAAGATCTTACCCAATGACACACAGCCAACATGCAAGGAGACACGGGCTGTCCCACTCAGCATGCAGGGTGAGCCTCAGCCCCCAGCAGTTTTGCCTGAGCTTCAGGGCAGCCCTCAGGGGTCCGTGGCCTTGGCCACGTGACGAGGGTACTGTCCCTGAAGTCAGCTTGCCCACGCATCCTTGTCACCACCTCCATCCCAGAGCTGAGGTTGTCACTGACGCCGGCAGTAAAGATACTGATTTCTCCAGTAAATCAGAGGTTTGTGTGCTTATGTGGGGTGGGGCGGAGGGGGGGAGAGTTAAGCATTGAAAAAGCATCTCTTTTTCAGCCAGACCTGAGTTCTAAGGTGGGCTTTGTTACTACCATCTGGGTGACCAGAACAAACCACTTAGCCTCTCTGGTTTTCATGTTGCCTCGTATGGGAGAATCGGTGGAAGTACGTCCTTACACCTGGCTGAACCCTGATGGGTTCTAGTGGCTGGTAGGGGGCTGTTAGCCAGAAGCCTTCAGAGGGCAGGCAGGGGAGGGACATGTGTCCCATGGCGCTGGAGACACAAAGGGAGACAGTGAGGCTGGTGGCCCACCAGCTAGAGCGGGCTCTGCCTGGCGCCGGCCACGGTCTGCATCACGCACAGCAGCCCGGAGCCCGCCCTGCCCCTCAGAGCTCCCCCTACCCCAGACGTGGCCCCACCGCGGGCCACCAGCCTACACCCCCTCAGCACAGCCTTCTCTCTTCACAGCTGGGGAAACTGAGGTCCGAGCAGAGGAGATCGCGCTGGCAGCCACATCAGTTGGCTGTTTCTCACGTAACTAAAACCATCGTTTTAGGAAAGTACAAAAAGGCAAAGGAATCTTTGAATTTGAAAACCTGAGGGGGAAAAGCTGCAATAGGAAATGCTGGGTCTCGGAGCCTCCCCGACCTTTACAAGCTTCTTTGGAACAAAACAACAAGATACAGCCTAGCACTGGCTTCTCTCCAGCGCCCCTTTCCTGGCCTTCGTGGCTCCAAATAATCCAAACATGACAGACCGCATGTTATGCAACACATGTTTATGTTTTTCTGAAACTAGCCAATGGTTCTTGAGGTGCGAGTGTCCCTGTAGCTCTGTGTGTTCCCCTCGCCCCTCCCCCCTCCCGGCTTCTCTTTCCACTCCCCCTGGAGTTTGGCGGCCGGCGGAGGGGGTGGGGCTCCAGGCTTCCTGGAAACCCCCCATCTTTGCAGGGTTCAGAGAGCAGGAGGGGTCGGGCCTCTGCTGGGAGCGGGGGGGAGACACGAAATATACCAAGTGGCTGCTTGTCCCGGGCCTCGCTCTCCCCAGCTGCAGAAATCCAGGTGGGGGGAAATCTAAACGAGTGTCCCCTGCACTAACGCTGGATTCTCAGTTAGGTGTCTGGGTTTGGTGACACAAAATGCACTGAGACTTCCCATGCGGGCTCAGGGGAGGGGGGTGGGGGAGACTCCCTCCTCCTCTTCCGAGGGCTGCTGGTGAGGGTTGGGGGGGGGGGGGGAGGGGGGAGCTGGGGAGGGGCCGCTGCCGTGGTGAGCACAGCCATATTCGTGCGTGTAACATCGTCTACTCTGTTTTTTTTCTTTTACGGTAAAATGTCTGAGGTCCAGGGAGGTCAGGGCCTTGCCAAGGCCACCCAGCGAATCGGTGTCAAAGCTGGATCCCAGCCTGATATTCCTCTCACTTGGACGCAGCCTGAGGCAGCCACGTCCTCAGGTCTCAGACTCTGTGGGCGTCCGACCTGGGCCCCCGGAACTCTGACACTGAACTTGAGCCCTCCTGTTGGCTCCCTTTAGCCTCTCAGGTGTTCCCTCCAACTCAGGGCCTCCAAACTTCTACCTTTGCCCCTCCTTTCTGTCAAAGGCAGTGCCCTGCGTCCCCAAAGCCTGATGCTGGGGAAGGTAACGGGAGGTGCTGTGGTAGCTGGTGATGTACTCGGAGGCACACCCACCCAGCTTTCAACCTAAAGAATGAAGGTGTCATGGTGACGCTGCCGGCATCGGGAGTAGGTGGGAGCAGCCTGCCGGCAGGGGGCGAGTGAGGTGAGCCATCCCTTTGCCTAGTCAAATACTATTTCCACCCACAAGCATAAAATGAATGATCCAGAGTGACCCAGTGGGGGCCAGGCAAGCCACTGGGACATCAACCACCTGCTATAGCCTGGCCTCGTGTAAGCCCTGGTGTGGCCCCTGTGGCCAATAGCCTTGGGCAGGTGACTTCACTCCTGTGACCCCTGGCTTCCGGTCTGCAGAGAGGAGGAAAGACTCCCTTGCGTGGCAGATGTGAGGCACAAACAAGGTGACGGGTGGGTGGGCACCTGCCAGGTGTGGGGGCCCGCTCGTGCCTACGCACGGGTAGGGTTCAAGTGTAAAACCTGGCAGATCTCTCCCTGGCCATATTGCCCAGGATCAGAGGAGCAGTCCCTCTGCTCAGCAATGGGCTGCCTCTGAGTTTGGAGAATTTTAAATTTGATTCTGTGCCCAGACCCGTGCTAGCAAGCACCAGCGTCAGCATGTCACCGTCACTGTGACTGGCAGATAGCAGGTGTTCCACATGCACTGTCTCCATGTCATCTGTGTCGCCAGAGCTTACCCTACGAAGTGGGAATTATTATTAGCCCCATTTTAGAGATGGAGAAAGTGAGTTCACGGAGGTTTAATAACTCACTGAGAGCCATAGACCTAGCTGCCTATGGATCTGGGGTTTCAGCTTAACTAGGCATTTTGATTCCAGAACTTGGCATTCGATCCTTCTTTGAGTACAAAGCTGCAGCCAGACAGCCAGAAGCAGGACATCTGTGAGGGGGTCAGGCTAAAGGAAGAGGGGGGGCATCGCTTGTGGTCAAGATCAGAGGCTGTGAGGCCACAAGGCTTGAGTTCAGTTTGATATCAACTGTGTGATCTTGGGCAACTTACTTAACCTCTCTGACTCTCTGTTTCCGGGAGATGACAAGCATGCATTTCCTCATAGAGCTATTGTGCAAATTAAACACGTACAGTGTGCCAAAAAATGCCTGACACACGGTCGGTTGTCAGGGAACCTCGGCCGTTATTGATATGTTATAGATCATTCGAAACACAATGTGGGGGGCTGGCAGCCTTGGCCGTCTTTGTAGCCTCCATCTCCAAAAGCCAACGACCGAAAAACTGTATCCTTCCCATGCTCCGGGGATCAAGGCTGGAGGGGAGGGGTGAAGGGGAGGAGGGCAAAGGGTGTCTCTGGTTTGTCCATGTGGACAGAGAGGTTGAGCATGGTCCAAGGTCACCCAGCGTCAAAGAGGCCTCAAGGCCAGCCCAGGCGCCCCGTTCCCCAGCTGGCGCCTGAGCCGCGAGGCAGCTATGTTGGCGGGGGGAAGAGGTTTGGGAACATGAGCTCTGGAGCGAGGCAGCCTCAGTTTGAATCCTGGATGGTGTGCCATTGAGGGCAAGTTATAAACTTCTCTGTTCTCGATGTCCTTATCTGTGAAATGGGAATAACCTCAGTAACCACCTCAAAAGGCTGCTGTGAGGTGAGGTCTAAAGTCCTGACTGCATGTAAGGGGCCCAGCAGCTGCCTGGCTACCGCGAGGACTCGGGGACACAGCTCAAAGCCCCGAGGACGGTGCGTTTCCCACGGTTTTGCATCTTGCACCACGAACGAGGGCGCCCAGAGGCCCACGGAGCGGGAACTCTGGGCTCTGGTCCTGCCTGAGGCCCCTATGTGGGCCTGGGCTCCCTGCTGTCCCTCTCTGTGCCTTATCTTTCTCATCCGTAGAAGGGGGGAGAAGATATGCACCCCAGCATAGGGAAGGCGGTGGGGGGTGCCTGGAGGCGACCACCCACGGGTCGGACACAAGAGCTCTGCCAACGCAAGCATGCCCCCTCCTGAGGTCTCTATGTACGTGCCGCTCGCAGAGGGCCCGGGTACTGCGGGGGGCCTGGGCAGGGGCGCAAGCCGAAAAAGAGCTCCAGGGCTGCTGTGCCTATGCTGACGGGGGTCCAGCCCCAGCCGGTTCCATCCTCCCTGCATTCCCGGGGCCTGCCTGGCAGCGCGGGCACCCAGAGACCTTCCCAGTGGAACGCGTACTTACGGTTTACTGTCCCAGGCCGGGGCTGGTGACCAAGGCTGAGGAGACCGAGCCCTGTCGTGGTTCGTATTTAAGCAGTGGACCCAGAGGGACGACGGGGGAGGCTCCTGGTGAATATTAACTAAGGTCACCCCAGTTATCGGAGGAGCAAACAGGGGCTAAGTCCATAGGCCAGTTCTGAGCCCACTCGCACTGCCCGTATGTGCTCTGTCTAGACAGCCCGCAGCCCTCTCTGTTCCCTATACCAAAGGGAGTCATTGTACCCAGCTCATAAACCACAGCGTCCTGCATCCCGGCAGGGGGGGGGGGGGGGGGGGGGAGCGATGGCATGAATCAGACACTCTTTGGGACAGCATTACTTTGGTGGCCTGCCCTCCCGCTGGGGATTCTCAGTGGCTGCCCTGCTGGTAGCAAGGAGCCACCTTGAAATGCCTTCTGCTGAAGGCGCACTGCTGCATTGGGCGTGGGCGGGCAAGCTGAAAGCCCATTTGGCAGACAGGGAAACTGAGGTTGAGGTGGAGAGGCTGCTCACAGTCACCAAGCTAGCCCCAGATACAAAAACTCCCTCGATTTCCCTGAGGAGACAACGGGCCATAGCCCATGGTGACACAGCCACTTTGGGCTGCCATGGGTGGCCAGCGGCACGGGCCAGTTGGCAAATCTGTAAAGAAGGGCTGTGCTGCCTCAGGCAAGCTGCTTCACCTCTCTGAACCAGGAGGCGCTTTAGTCTGCATCATAGGGGTTTGGAAGTCCTGCTTCGGAGAGGGGTTGTGGCGGGGGGGACGTACGTGATGGCTTCTGTAAAGTGCCCAGGACGCAGCAGGCTCTTCCGTTTGGTCCACGCAGCCCCTCTGCTCAGCCCTGCTCTCCAAGCTTCTCCAGGCAGGACGGGGCTTAGTTGTCGGCCAGCCTCAGCCTGTTACTGTTTCCACTGGGTGTGGCTCCCAGCGGAGGAATGTGGTGCACATGCTGCTTGGATTTTCCTGGGCTGTGGCCCTGTTCTGGGGCTATTAAAGGCTCCAGGAGTTCCGCTGGGGGTGGAGGTGTTGGTACAGGGTTGAGGCTGGGAGAGTCTCACTTGACCGTGATCCCTTTAAGAACCGAAGGCACACCCCACTCCCCTCTGTGCGCCCTGACAGCTGCCTGGGGCAGGACGGGCGCCCTACAGATATGTGTTGAAGGGGCGGATGAGTGGGTGAGAGCGTTTCTGTCCCTCCTATCGTTCGTTCCTCTGGTCCCGAGTGTGGGAGTCTGCCAGGTGGATGAGTGGCAGTTTCCTCTGCGACACAGGTGCAGAGCCGGGAACCCAGCTCCCCCATTCATGGACTGTGAGATCTCAGAGCAGCTGTTTAACGTCCCCGGGCCTCCGTTTCCCCACCTGTAAACTGAAGATGGCAACAGTGCCCACCTCGTTGGGCTGCTGTGAGGGCTCAACGCAGCAGTTCAAGGTTAGCTCAGAGCCCAGCGTCGGGTGTGCCCTTTGTGAGGTTGCCCTACCCCACGCCAGTGGCTCTCCCTGGTGTCGCTGTGGGGGAGGGAGGCATTCCAGGAATATCCCCCTCAGGCTGCTCCCACACAGGGCTCTCAGGGGCGCTCTGAGGGGAGTACTTGTCTTTGGTGCTCTGAACAAGAGCGGAATGAGCTCAGAGAGGGGAGAAGGCCCCACTCCCCTTCTCACCCCTAGTACCATGATATGGCTTCAGGGTCCCTCCCCACGGAGGCTCTACACCCCCTCACAGCTTGGAGAGCTGGGCAGTCATTGAGGCCAGGCCTGACCTCCATACCTCCCGGGCATCCCTTCCTCTTCCCATGCCTCAGTTTCTCCATCTGTACAATGGCCTCCTTCCCACCCCAGCTGCTCCCCCCCTCCCCACAGTGGATGGGCAACACCAAGTGTGCCAAGCCTTCCATGCTCTTGCCAAGCTCGGCCCCCTCAGCCCGGTGGCGCTGGGGCTGGTGGGAGGGACCACCCCATGCCCCCTCTACCTGGGATCCTCGTGCTGTGGTGGCCTCCACACCTCCTGTGACAGCCCGGCCTCCTCTGCCGCCTTCTCTGAGACTCCGTGTGCGCCCTGAGCAGAGCACGGTCTCTGCCAGCCGTGGAGAAAGGAGGCTCTGGGTGTCAGAGGCAGCAGGTCTGGGAGGGGCGGGGAACTGAGACAGGAAGCCGCCTTGCACAAAGCTGTGGGTAGCCAGGCGGGTGCTAGTCACCTGCTGTTCTGGCTGTGAGTCCGGCCTGTGGGGCCCCGACGAGTCACCCAGTTCCTCTGAGTGTCTGTAAGAGGGAGGGTCGCCCTGGGCTCAGAGGGTTAATGCAGATAACGGGGTCACCCTCCCGGCCCAGGGCCTGGCACCAGCGTCTTGGTGGGTTTCCAGGGCCAGCCATGGAGGGAAGGACTGAGCCACCTGAGAAATGTCCACGGAGGGCCCCACGGAAGCCGAGAAGGGTCTGTGTGTGCAGAGGTGTGTGTCCCGGACTCTGGCTGCAGGCAGAAGGGATGCCTGACATCCCAGTGGGGACCGGGCTGTTTGCAGGGGAGCATGGGAGGGGCTCTGGGGCCCTGTCCCGTCTGAATCGGGACTCCATGCTCAGTGGAGACTGAGCTGGGATAGAATCCTGGTTGCAGAGGGGGCACCAAAGTGACCATTCTCGAGGACAGTGGCCCAGGAACCAAGAGCCATGGCGGGGTAAGCCTTGTCTACCTGGTTACTTCTGGAATTGTTGACTGTGGCCGCCTCTGAGCTGATTCTCCAGGGGTGAGCGCATCCTAGGAAGATCCATAGGCTGGTTTAAATAAGAAGCTTCTGGGGTCCCCCTCCCCCTCCCTGCCAGGCCCTGTCTAGAGGTGGGAGGAGTCTGAGAGCTGAATCCCGGGGTCTGCAGTGGAAAGGGAGTGAGGGGGAAGGTGTCGGAGGGGTCCTGGGCCAAGTAGATCAAGCCGGTCAGGAGAGGAAAGGTGACCTCCAGGGGCATTTCGGGGCCATTTCCTGGGGAGTGTGGGGGCCAGTGTGCCCACTGCCCCGTGCAACACATGGAACGTTTCACCACTTGACCTCCCAGTGTCTCGGTTCCCTCATCCCTAATAGGCAAGATAAGAGGTATCACTTGTACCAGGATTGTGAAGAGCCAATGGGATGAATGCATGTAAGACTCAGGGCAGCCTTGGGACAAATGGGCCCTAAGTGGGCACCAACAGCCACGTGATCTCTGTAGGTGTGTCCTAGGCCTGGGGGTCCATTCAGATGGGTCCCGGAGGGCTGAGCAGGAGAAAGATGTGGGGAGCGGTTCTCTTGGTCCAGGCATGCCTCCTTTGGGATTCAAGCTTCTGCGGATCCCACAATCCCCTCTCCTGGGCCCTGCGCTCATTTTGCTTCTCAGAGGCAAAGAACCGGGGCCAAGTCGGGTGTGGGGTGGTTGGACCAGTTGACTGGGTTGCAGGAGATGACTTCATCTCCTCTCCAAGCCTCAGTTTCCTCACCTGTGAAATGGGGATAGTGAGAGTCTTTTTTCTCAGATAGCAGTTGTGAGGCTCAAGGGAGCGGCTGCTTGTGGGGTGTTTTACCCCAGGCCCGCTCTTGAATGTGACTGACACCCATGTCTACCTTCTCCCAGCCCATTCCCTTTAGCAGCATTGGTCGGATGCTCCTGGCCTTCTCTCCCAGGACACGAGTTACGTTTACGCTATGACTTTGCCTCCTGTTGGCACCTTGCAAATCATCCAACTTGCAACCCCCTACCGGACCCCCTTCCTTCCTGTACATGACCTCTGGGCCTGCTTCCTGTGTGTGGTTTGACTCTTACTTTTTCTGGAAATGCTTGGCTTCTTCACAGCTTTCCCTTCTCGTCCTTACTCGGAGAAAAAGAAGGTAAATGCATGCGTTTTAAGTGTGTCCTATTAATAGAATTAATAGAAGGCATAGAGCACACGTCTATAGCTTTATCCTCTACATGTTAAAACTAAGAAAGCCAATATTTTTAGTGTCACTAACCCTTCGTCTCTTGAACTGATGGGCCATCTTGATCATTATGGCCTTTTGGCTTTTAGGAGACGCAGCCTATTTTCCTATGGCACTATTTCCTTTAGGATGGTCCAATTGCACATTTTGGCCAATGGGCTCCTCTTAAAATTTTCTCTTTTCTCCTTTGAGCGATCCTAAGTGAGCTTCAGGAAGCATGCGCCCGTATTCCAGCAAGGACAGGGTGATCCAGGGCCATCGTCATCTTCTCTCGCCCCTAGACACGGTGCCAGCAGCCCTCTCTGGGGGAGGACGGGAACAGGTGTGCAAGGGTCGTCCCAGGAGCCCAGCGAGCGCTGGATGTGCAGCGCCCACTCCTGCAAGGGGAGGGGGGGACCCTGAAGGACTTTGGGACTTGTTTTTCAGATTCGAGCCCTGCGTGGGCGGCTCAGATAAAGAGGGCAATTAGGGATCTTTGAACTTACCCAACTCTGACCTTGGGGGGAAATGGTGCGATCCACTGCGTTGTCTTCGTTCCTGTTGACTTTAAACATTTGTTTGCTTGGTTTGAAGGAGCCTTTTGCTGCTCTCGTTTTGGGAGACAAAGCCCCAGACTGACTCCAGCGTGTGGCTGTCACCACGTGCGTCGTGGCCGATACTTCTCAAGCACTTACTATCTGCTGGGCTCTGTTTTATTTATTTATAATTTTTTTAAAGTTTATTTATTCACCTTGAGCACGGGTGGGGTGGAGGGGCACAGAGAGAGAGAGAGAGAGAGAGAGAGAGAGAGAGAGAGAGACGGAATCCCAAGCAAAGCCCGATTCAGGGCTTGAACTCACAAACCGTGAGATCATGACCTGAACAGAAACCAAGAGCGTGATGCTGGGCTCTGTTTTAATCCTGTGCGGTGGGTAGCATTTGTATCCCCTTAGTACAGATGAGGAAACTGAGGCACAGAGAGTGACCCTGATGCTGACAATATGGCCAGTCTCCCTCCTTCTCCCTCCCCCATCCTTCCCTTTCTTTCTCTAGCTCTAATCATCATATTTGGTCATCGTCTTTAATCCTCCCCATGTATTAATGTATCCGTCATTTATTCATTCACTCACTCAATATCATGTCTTGATCACCTACTGGCTCAGAGTTTGCAAAGGGGAAAGGTGTGCTCCCCACTGTCCCCGAACTTGCACCCCAGTGGGGGCTGAGCCTGGGGACCACAGAATCCCCTTCAGATGTCCCTGTGAGGGAGGATAAGGCCGAAGGATGAAGAGGAGGGTTGGGTTCAGGGGATAAACAAGAGGCAGGAGCAACAGACGTGGGTTGACATTGGGGTAAGCGCCAGGAAGGCCCCAGGGCCCCCTGCAGCTGCCATATCTCTAGAATTTCTGTTAAGTTCTCTTTCTGCCAACCACTCCACCTCCCTGGACACAGTCTCCTCATCCCCTGTGATGGGAAGGAACAAAGGCTCCAAGGGCAGGTCCACAGTCAGATGTCGGGACCTTGGGACAGGGGACTTCACGATGGCTTTCCTACCTGCGTCTCCCTTCCACCCCATTTCATCCCTGGGGCTCAGTCCCCCATCACTTGACCCAGCAGACCCTCCACCCTCCTCCCAGGTACTAGGCAAATAGCCAATACCCAGCTTCCCAAGAAGCCTGGCTTCTCCTGAAGTCCTCTGCAGTGGGGGCTGTTTCTTCTCCAGCATCTCTGAACTTGGGTGCCATGAGAAAGTCCAGCTCTCCTGGCCCATGGTTGCCTCCAAGCCTCTTCTTCTCTGGTAATCGTAGCCACGCCCCCGGACAGGCCCACCTTTTCCCAGCCTCATCCCTGACATCCACAGGCCCGTGGGCCACAGCCTACATCACAGAAGGACAACAGGGCCCGGCCTGGTCTGTCCCATGTCACTCAACATCACTCTGCATGGCCTTTTGAACCCCTAGCCCTTTGCTTCCTATCCGTCTTGCGTCTAGCAACCTTCATGCCAGCCACTCTCCAGTCTGTGCCTTTGCAGTCGATAGACTAACGTCGCCAGAGACGCCCATGTCCTCAGCCCCAGGACCCGTGAACATGTCACTCTATGTGGTGAAAGGGTTGTTGTGGATGTGATTAAGGTAATGGCCTTGAAAAGGGAAATTATCCTGGATTATAGAGGCGGGCTCATTGTAATGACGAGGGGCCTCGTAAAAGAGGGGCAGGAAGGTTAGAGCCAGAGAGGGGGTGTGAAACAGAAGCACAGGTCAGGGTGGCGCGAGGAAGGGGTTTGTAACACATGGAAATGAGGTGAAATTCAGATTTCACTGTCCACGTAGAATGCATCATCGGAACACAGTCACTTTGGTCATTTCCTGGCCACGGCTGCTGTCATGCCGCGGTGACAGAATAGAATGCTTGTGACAGAAA